AATGCAGCACACAATCTGTCTCCAGAATGACCCATGGTTTCATTAGTAGAGAATTCAGCCACTGCTGGTAATTCAGGTGCCAGGGCAACTCATATTCAAATACTTTCCAGCGAGGGCTAATTTCGCACCAACAGACTTGGCCTGGGAAAGTGAATAAGAAATCAAATAGAAAATTAAATCTTTTATTCTCTGCTGAACGCGGACCATTATCTCAAATAAACTTAATTTTTAGAAATGAAATTAAAATATTTTTTGTATTAAAAGCATATCATCAATGTGAGCCATGATTTGTGGACAGAAAGAAAACAAATCTTTGCTGATATCGATCAAAACTGACACTGTCACGTCAAGTGTCTCTGCAGCATAGGAAATGAAATAGTAAGTAATCATACCTTGCCAAGATTCAGCATGAATTTTCTCATTTTTCTACTGTGTCTAATAGGTACATCTGACATAAACTCTACACCACCAGCAATAGTCACATCTGCCTGTCCCAAGGCTATCATACCCATAGCTGGGAAAAAATAACACGTGTTAAACAACTAAAATTCTGCTTTCTGGACCCCAGCATTAGAGAGATTACAAATTTATAACAATAAGACAATTGTGATGAAGTAAAGTATATTGTTGATTTCTTCAGTTGTAACAAGATAATTTGTTTTAAATACGAGTCTTACCTGTTGTGATGGCTTGATTTGATGAAATGCATGCCATAGTAACTGTATGACATGGTGTGTTAATGGAAAACCCAGAACTTAAAGCAGCCTAGAATGAAAAAGATGGGGGGCAAGTTTGAATATTTGAACATTTCAAGTTTAAAGCGGGAGGATTGTCACCTGCGCATGCACGGGAATTGAGTCCCAAGCGACGATAACACACTAAAAACACAAACAAGCAGCCTCTCGGCTGAGATAGCTCCGCTGTTAGCAATGCACATTTCCATTAAAGAACTGAAGACATCATTAGAAAATGAACAATATGAATAGTATCAATCAAAGCAATCGGACTTACAGTTTTTTAACAAGAAGTCGAAAATATCACTTTTTACCAAAAATGACAAAAATATTCACCAAAATTAAAAAATTAAAGATATCATTACAAAATTAACAAATCTGAGAGAGGTCCACATGTAGTACCTATAGATGTAATATCAAAGCAATTGCACTTGCGGTTTTTAACAAGAAGTCGAGAATATCAGTTTTTACCAAAAATTACAAAAATATTCACCAAAATTAGAGAATTGAAGATATCATCACGAAATAAACAAATCTGAGAGAGGTCCACATGTAGTACCTATATATGTAGTATCAAAGCAATTGGACTTGCGGTTTTTAACAAGAAGTCGAAAATATCACTTTTCACCAAAAAATGACAAAAATATTCACCAAAATTAGAGAATTAAAGATATCATTACAAAATGAACAAATCTGAGAGAGGTCCACATGTAGTACCTATATATGTAATATCAAAGCAATTGCACTTGCGGTTTTT